CACACACACAGACACACAAAACACACACACACACGTATACATTTATGCCCTATAGAAACAAATTTTTGTTCACGTTTTATTAATAAAAGTCATGTTAGACAGTGCATTGAGTCTTGTTGAGATTTAGTTCAAAATTAAGAAAAATGGTTTTCATTTGTGGACATTTCTACCAAGCTGTCATTAACATTAGGTGTATGTATAAATTTTTATATTTACATTTTTTTTAGAGTCTTACTGGTAAAATGACACGCAAGATCTTTACTAACACTAGAGAGAGATGGAGGCAGCAAAATGTAAACAGCGCTTTTGCTGAGCTAAGAAAACTCATCCCCACTCATCCTCCAGATAAAAAACTGAGCAAAAATGAAACTCTCAGACTGGCTATGAGATACATAAATTTCCTCATTGACATCCTGGGGGATCAAGGAATAACAAAGGTTGGAGTAAATTCTCCTGGAAATATTTTGGGCCTTTTCGAACCTGAGCCAGAGATGTCAAACCTTAAAGAATGGACTGTCGATAACAGCAGCGATTCATCCCCTGGAACAAGCAGCGATACCCAGGACTGTTGGTCATTGGCTCCGTCACCATAGCTCTTTTCCAGTGGGTTGATGATTACCCATCAATTACATTTACTGTATATATCTATATCTTTACCTATTGTAGGTTTTGTTGTTAATTAAGAAAACCTCTCATTTTTCAAAATATCCTTCTCCTTGAAAAGAAAACTTTGATTTGAAATTCCGGTTAAGAGTGCATTGCACTATTGATTATGTACTCGTTAAATTCCGAGATACATATTAGATTCTAAAATTGGCATGGTTACAGTATCATGTATTTTCTTTAGGTATGGTGCCGCTAGTCACTTTTACTGTATGGTGTTGAACCTTTTGTTGTGAGCTCTATGGAGCTTCATAATACTCTTTTCAAGGGTCTCAGCAAAATCCTTCTATCATCACAATCAAATATAATGTTTAGGATCCAATACTATATCTACAAAGAGAAAGTTACTATTGTCACTTAATGTGATTGTGACATTAAATAAGAAGTAGGCTTGTGAAAAATTTAATTTGGAGCAGTTCATCCCATTCAAATTATTTCTAATCCACAATCGAACAAATCAATGCATCCGGGATTTACCTGTGGAGTCTTATTCAATAAATAAGTGTGGGTCAAAAGAAATTAAATTTTTAATTAATCACTCCAAACACAATTTTGCACAAGACTAAAAGAGATATATATATGTTTATCTGATGGGACAAATGTTGGCATCCATTTAGCAAAACTCTTCTATTGAATGTAGTTGTTAAAATCTTGTAACATAGTTGATATCATTTGGGGATAAACTAATGAGACGTGAGTGGAGAATAGCTATCTTGTAAAAAGTAAGCCAGATGTCTGATTTGGAGAAAATATCCATTTCATGGTAAAGTAGAAATATTTTCTTCAACTATGTAGAATGAATAAAGTCCCTATGTTAACAGCTAGGAAATTAAAAATATACATTTTCCAAAAGTAAAATATCAGTGTGTGTTATCTTATCTTTTAATACATTTAATGGTTTGAGTATATTAGAAAAACAAAGGAAATTCTCCATATTTATATTGTGTATAATATAATACTGTTGCAATGTTGTTGTTTTTATAGCACTTACTGGCAAAAAAACACTCCGAAGAATTCATTAAGCGTGTAACGTGTAAGAACAACAACAATATGCAATAGAATACATGTATATATATTTTTATTTATTAATTATAAAATCAGGATTATTTCTGACATTGGCTTTTATGCATTTTTAAGTGGCTTTTTTTGTATTTTAATAAAAAGTTTGAGCAGAAACAGATCACCAAGGCAAATATAACCAGATTTAAAATTAATACATTCATTTCTACTACTTTTTCTATGGATATAAAGTCTAAAAAATTTTTTTTTAAATTGCCATCGGTCGTGACGACTGATTTAAATTTAGAAATAATCTGTCACTCAAATGGTTAATTGAGATAAAAATCCCAAAACATTATTCCATCCATTTCATAGTGCTCCAGCTACAAAGTAACAAAGCACATTTTTTCTATTTACACTCAAGGCTTTTCCTTAAAACATAAATGGCCAATGAAAAAAATGTATAAGACTGTTAAAATATTATAATGGGTTAAAATAATATAGCGCCATCTGGATACAAGTCTGTGCTTATTATTTATGACCCTTTTACTTTGAAAAGGATTATTTTCATTTTCAGTAATATTTATTGAACATTTTCACATTTTTGACCTTTTAAGGTTTATCGTTGCTGACAAAGCCAGTTAATGTGTATTTTATTTCTATTCATATTTATTAAATTGAGGTGTTGTTGATTGGTAATTTATAGCTGTGTTTGATTTACAAGTGTGCATAGTTATTAGCTGCACTTACCAAAGAGTTTTTTTCGGAGTCTTGAAGTTTGTTATCTGAATCTACTTGTATTTATTTGTTAATATATTTAAATAAATTATTAAATTATGGTTTTTTTTATACAATGTTTCTTTGTCTTTGTTTACAATAAACCAAATATAAGCAAGAAATGCTCAACTAATAATGTCAAGTATCTTGACCTTTGTCAAGGTCCCAATGAGGAACATATTTTGCAAGGTTTTGACTATTTAAAAAAATTTTGAGCAAAATATAATTGATCTATTCCTGCTATTAATAATGGCGATATTTTACAGAGAACTAGCAGCTGCAGTTCTAGCAACTGCTGGTGTACTGTATATATTTCAACTTCTTCTGGGCATCACCAATCAAAAATGAACTGTCATTTCTTCAATTTTAGCACAACCTAATAGCTAAAAGTTAGCTTTTGGTTACACTATTATTATTTTTAATATTTTGATTTCATTCAATTTACATTCTTTGCAGGTAAATCAGCTTGCTTAACCCCCTAAGGACATGTGTGACATGTCATGATTCCCTTTTATTCCAGAAGTTTGGTCCTTAAGGGGTTAAAGGGACACTATAGTCACCAGAACAACTACAACTTATTTTGGTATGTACAGTCACTCATGCAGGCTTTTTAATAAGAGGGAAAAGGCAGTGTTTAGATTACCGCTTAAGAACACCTGTAGTAGCAGTCACTCAGACAGCCACTACAGGTGCTTCCAGGGTCAGTGCTGCTGACGTTCAGAGTTTCGACACTCTGCATGGAGACACTGAACACTCCCCATAGAGATGCATTGGTTCAATGCATCTCTGCTGATTGGCACAGAGCAGTATTTTGCAGCAGCTGCACAAAAGCCTCCCAATGCTTTCCTATGGGAAAGCATTGGATTGGTTGAGCTCATCAAGTTTGATGATCTCAGCCATGGAGGCGGAGCGGGACAGGGCCAGCCGTGACGAGACTGGCACAGCACTGGAATAAAGGTAAGTACATTCACCCTTTAAAGGCAGGAGAGCCTAAAAAGTGTTATTACAACTATAGTGTCAGGAATACATGTTTGTAATCATGACACTAAAGTCTTCCTTTAAATGCGTTATCTGTCTGGAGTTTATTTGTGACAGTTTACAAAAAAAAGTGCAGAATTCAATAAACAGCCAAGGAGGTTTTCTTCCTCTTGTGTTATTTCCACAGAGCCAACGGAAGTGTCAGGTGCACTGAGCTAGCTTGTGCCTGCCTTCCCCCCTTGTCAATGAGAAGCATAGATCATGTGTGCTCACATGCCCTCGGCTCCGCACAGAGGATTCTGTGAGAAGCCAACAATTGGTGTATTCCCTGACAGAGAAGGGCATGTTGTCTGCTGCTTTTGCAAGCTGTTTCTTCATATACAGCCAAAGAAACAATGCAGAAAAAAAAACATGTATTTCTTAGGCAGTATACTAAAATGTTACAAAACAAAACAAAGAAATCAATGGTATGTTTTTTTAGCCCTTTATTTATCAGGGACTCGACCTGACTGCAGTTTGTCGTTGTAACCGATTTGAGTGGGCAAATGCTCACATTCGATGGTGTCTGGCACTTTGGAGAGGTGTTCTCTTTACGGATGAATCCCGATTTTCACTGTACAGGGCAGATGGCAGACAGAGTGCATGGTGTCGTGTGGGTGAGCAGTTTGCTGATGTCAACATTGTGGATCAAGTGCCCATGGTCACGATGTGGTTATTGTATGGGCAGGGGTATGTTATGGAGAACGAACCCAGGTGCATTTTATTGATGGCATTTTGAATGCACAGAGATACCGTGACGAGATCCTGAGGCCCATCCTTGTGCTATTCATCCACGACCATCACCTCATGTTGGCCTTCTATCAAGGCAAGCCTAAGGCACACCTGTGCAATAATAATGCGCTCTAATCAGCATCTTGATATGCCACACCTGTGAGGTTGATGGAGAAGTGCTCACTAACACAGATTTAGACAGATTTGTGAACAATATTTGAAAGAAATAGGCCTTTTGTGTACATAGAAAAAGTCTTAAATCTTTGAGTTTAGCTCATGTAAAATGGGGGCAAAAACAAAAGTGTTGTGTTTATAATTTTGTTCAGTGTAGCTAGTGTGTTACTTTAGCCCTTAAGATCGGAGGGCGTACTATTATGCCCTATTTTAGGCGGCTCTAAACGCCGCCGGGCATAATAGTACGCCCTCCATTTTTTTCTTACTTACCCGGTCGCCAGCGATCCCACGCCGGCGATCGCGGTTGGGAGGACTCCCAGGGAGCCCCCCGCGGCAGATCCAGCCTCCTGCAGCCACCCCCGGCCATGTGAGAGTGAGGTCCTTGCAAGGACCTCACAATCACATGGCCGGGATTGCTGGCTGCTGCATTGCCAGCAGGGGAACTGCCTGTAATGACAGGTAGTCCCCCTGCTGGCTTGAAATAAAATAAATTAAAATTAAAAGTGTAAAAAAAAGTGCAAAAAAAATTATATATATATGATCTAAGTATATATATATATATATATACATACACACTCATACACTGTCTAGGTGTATTTTACTATTAATATATTTATAATTATATATATATATATATTAATATCACATTACACGTAGACTGATACTGATTATATATATATATAATTATTGTTATATATATATTTATATATAATATAAAAAAAATGTAAATAAGTTAAAAAATTAAATTAAAAAAATAATTAAAAATAAATAATAAAAAAATATATAGATGTGAGTTATTTCTTTCTTACTGTATTGTGATATTAATATATATATATATTTATATCAAAATACACGTAGAACAAAATAATATATATATATCTATATACATAAAAATATACGTATATATCACTATATATATACCTATATATAAATAAAAATATTTAAAATATATATATATATATACACATATATATATATATATACATACGTATATATATACATATATTAATTCTACATATATATTTATGTAATATTTTTACATAATTAGGTATCTTAATTAATTACAATTAGCGGGACCTGCCTGACAACCCGTGCCGAAAGTAAAGGGAATTTAATTTGCAATCACTATATTTATCCTATAACTTTCCAAGACACCATAAAACCTGTACATGGGGGGTCCTGTTTTACTCGGGAGACTTTGCTGAACATAAATATTAGTGTTTCAAAACAGTAAAATGTATTACAACGATGAAATCGCCAGTAAAAGTGACGATTTTTGCATTTTTCACGCACAAACGGCATATTATTGCTGCGATACTTTTTACTGTTTTGAAATACAAATATTTGTGTTCAGCGAAGTCTCCCGAGTACAACAGTACCCCTCATGTACAGGTTTTATGGTGTTTTCAAAAGTTACAGTGTCAAATATAAGGCTTGTGTTTCATTTTTTTCACATTAAAATTCGCCAGATTGGTTACGTTGCCTTTGAGACCCTATGGTAGCCCAAGAATGAAAATTACCCCTATGATGGAATACCATTTGCAATAGTAGACAACCCAAGGTATTGCAAATGGGGTATGTTCAGTCTTTTTTAGTAGCCACTTAGTCACAAAAACTGGCGTTTTTTGCATTTTTCCTACACAAACAAATACTAACGCTAACTTTGGCCAGTGTTTGTGACCAAATGGCTACTAAAAAAGACTGGACGTACCCCATTTGCAATACCTTGGGATGCCTACTATTGCAAATGGAATGCCATTATGGGTGTAAATTTAATTCCTGGACTACTATACAGTCTCCAAGGCAACGTAACCAATCTGGCGAATTTCAATTTCAAATGTAATGTGTGGTACTGTCTTACACGTGAGACTTTGCTGAATACAAATATGTGTATTTTATTGCAGTAAAAGCAAACAGTATTATGACATTGACAGTTAAAATGTCATGTAGAACTAAAATTTTTTAAAAAAATCTTATTTTCTCCCATTTTTTCATATTAAATTATGTTTCATAGCTAAATATTTGATATTAAATAAAAGCCCTGTTTCCCCTGAATAAAATGATATATAATAAGGATGGGTGCATTTAATATGAAAGAGGTGAATTACGGTTGGACAGACATGTAGCGCAAATGCCAGGTTTTGTTTACATTTTGTTTTGTTCACAACGTGTACATTTGGCTCCGTCCTTAAGGGGTTAATACTTGCAGTTTTTTATGCATGCATACCACACTGCTGGAGAAAATGCCTGTGCATGTATAGCATTTCTCTGTTAGATGTCAGAGGCATTAAAGAGTGACAAAGATGCTGCAACATGGAAGGTACCTTTTTTTTTTTTTTTTTAAATGCTTATGCTGCATTTTTCACCCCAGTAAACACTGTAATAGGGTTTAATAGGTTCAATGAGCATGGACTTGTCACGTCACTGGAAATAACAGTCCTGTTCTAAATAGAAAATGTATCTTTCTTGACAAAAATCCTTTTCCAAGTTCCCTAGATAAAAGTGGAAAGTTATTAGTGGACGTGATCCTGGCTTTTATTGATAGATTTGTTTTAAAAAACGGTCCTAAAACTCTGACTGATACCGGAGAAACTGACGGAAGCAAAGCACAGAGAGATGGACACAGGTTTCTTCAGGAAGGAAGAGATTCTTTATTGGATCACCGATCGGGACTCAGAGGGACTAATGTCACCAAAAATACAGCAAGTTCTGAGCCCTGAACAATGGTGCAGGCTCCCTATATAAACTATAACTCCTCCCATATTAAGCTCCACCGCGCATTCTTGACCAATCGTACAAATAAATTAACTGCTGGCGCATGAAGCGTCAGCACAATGGAGGGAATACCCATCCTGTATTGCACATGCTCCGTACACTACTGATCATTATCTTGTCGTGCAACCAAGCACAGTCGATCACGTCAGCGCGCGTGCATACCCACGTGGTAATCTCATTTCTAATTTATTTTACCGAGATTACCATTGCTTTGATGCTCTTGATATTTTACAATTGCTTGAAATAGCAACATGTGCATACCACAAGTTACCTTTGAACAGACCAGACTTGTCCTATGATGTGAATCTTCAACACTCGTCTTCCTGCATTGGTTCTCCTAGGTCTAGAGCCTTATATTTTGCGG